ATCTCTTGGCATTGATAGAAGAGCAAAAATTGGGGTAATGATTATGATATCTTTGATTTTAATTTTAGATTATTTTTAAATAAATTCATTTAATTGATTTATTTATAGTGAAAAAACAGTTAGAAGGTTGCTTAAGAGATTAGGTCTTGTTTATTCAAAATATAAAAAAGGTTTATACATCGATGGCCATGAAAGACCAGATGTGGTTGAGTATAGAAAAGTATTTTTAGAAGAGATGAAAAGGTAATTTGATTAATTTAATTATTTTAATTAAATGCTTTGAAATTTCTATTAAAGCCTCAAATCAAAAATTTGATGCAGAAATTCAAATTGATTGTGGAAACTGGTTCATTAATTGCTAAAAATAAATAGATATAATGGTTAAGGTGATATTGTTTTTATGTAAAATTAATATTTAAAAAAACTTACTGAAATATTTTTATAGTTTGGAAAATTTCATGCCAGCATTCACAGGTGATGAAATGGACACAAGGATTGATCCTGATCTTTCAGAAGGTGATTCTCTTCACATTTGGGTTGCTCATGATGAAACTGTTTTTGAATCAAATGATGGAAAAAAAGAAGGTTGGCACCCTGTCAATGAACAACCTCTAATGAAGAAGAGTTGTGGTCGATCATTACATGTGAGTGATTTTGTGACTGAGACTGTTGGATGGTTAAGACTCTCAGAAGAACAAAAACTAGAGGTAAGTGATAACATGCCACATGAAGCTCGTATCATAATTAGTCCAGGAAAAAATAATGATGGATGGTGGAATTTGGATCAACTTATAAAACAGGTAAATTTTTTTAAGTGTCTAATTTAGTATATACATAATGATTAAAAAATTTTATATTATAGATTGTGGAACATGCAATACCAATCTTTGAGAAAACCCATCCTGGAGCCATTGCAGTATTTGCCTTTGACAATTCATCTGCCCATGCTTCACCTGCAAAAGATGCTCTTGATGTAAATAATATGAATTTAAGTGATGGAGGTAAGCAACCACTTAAAAGAAGCACTTTATTTAATGGACAAGTTCAAAATTTAGTGGATTCAAATGGCCATGCAAAGGGAATTAGAACTATTTTAATGGAATGTGGTTTGTGGCAACCACATCTGCGGCTTTCCTGTGGTAAAAAAGGAAATATAGATGAAAACCCTTCCTGTTGTGCAAGACATATTCTTGGTGCTCAAGAAGATTTTTGCCAACCAAAAAAACCTTATTTGCAGGAAGTAATTGAAAATTTAGGTCATAAAGCCATTTTTTATCCCAAATTTCATCCTGAGCTAAATTTTATTGAGATGTGCTGGGGATCAGCAAAGAGATATGCCCGAAATAATTGTGAGTATACCTGGAGTAGCTTACAAAGGAATGTTCCTATTGCTTTAGATTCTGTTAGTTTAGTTGAAATGAGAAGATATGCACGAAGAACAAAAAGATTTATGGAATGCTATAGAAGAGGTTTAGATGGAATCCAAGCAGAATTTGCAATGAAACAATACAAGTCACATCGTTCTGTTCTAGAGACAGTATATAGAGATGTGGATAGACAATTTGAGAGTTAAAATTTTTTCCTGATGTATATATTAATATAAAAAAAATAAATTTTGTTTATTGCTTATTTTGGAACGATCATCAAAATTTTAAATTGAAACAATTGGATGTGTACTTGTGACCGGCACTGTACTTGTACGAACATATCATGTGATTTATGATAATTTTTATTGGTTGATCAAATGTAATATATATCAGTTAAATTCGTCAACTCTTGTCACAGCGAACTATAATAATAATCAAACTCTTGTCATAACGGATTTTTAAAAAATTTTGCTTCGAATATCACATGTAAAAACATATAAAAATCCGTTGTGGCAAGATTAGTATTAGTATTTTTAGTAAACTTGCCACAACGAATTTTAAGTAAAATTTGTTTGTGTACCGTTCATCCGCTGTGGAAAGGTTTGGCTATATTATTATTATGGAATTAACTATATACTCCATGTGATTGAAGATATTTAATACTACTATTAATTATTTTGAATTGATAATATATTAACAAGAATGTAGAGATAATTTTTATTTCATTATAAATAAATAGAAAAAAAATTTAGGAATCACGGTAATAATAATACTACTAATACAACAATAATAACAATAATGACCTCATCAGGAAAATAAATCTTACGTAAACCTACATAGGGTTCAGAATCGGCCAACATTATGTCGATATTTTGGTAATTCTGTTAACATTTCCGCATAATGCTGGTCAGTTTTAAATCCTACGTAGGTTTACGTGAGATTTATTTTCCTGATGCTAGGATAATGTAAGTATAATATGATAATCAGGGGTTTTCTGATAACGAAGTAGCATTACGGTCTGTTACGACATTTAATTATAGTAATCGTAATAGTAATAGGACTGACGGCATAATATTATTATAAAATAATATTTTATCACCACAGAAAACCATCGTACGTTCGTACAGCGAAATTGCACAACACTGACTATAATAACAACGTATATAATACTACTACATAATAACAAGGGATTTAAATAAACATATATAACATGATAATCGGTTTTTTGAAATAGTATTACGGCCTCAGTTACAACATCTGGTAATCCATTAATTATAGTAATAGGATTATCGGTTTAATAATAATATTATTATAGGATTTTACAAAGTAATATTTTGTCACCGCAGAAAATCATTCCTGATACATCGTACATATGTAAAATTTCCTCGTACAGGTGTACGACCACAACGAAACTGTACAAACTCAATCGTACGTACGTACGAAGATTCTTCTCGTACTGCGAAATTGCACAACCCTAATTACAACTTTACATATTAAAATTTATGGACGTAATATTACGGCAGGGAAAATTTCTTGATAAAGTCAACACAGCTTTTTAATAGGGCAGGTACCTGGATTATTTTTGCAGGAAAATCAATTAGCTGAATAATTACTGAAATAGAGATAAATCTGTTTTCCTTTTATTTGTCAGATCAACTCACTTATTTTACTTACCAAAAAATTATGCTATTGATCCAAATTAAAATATCACAACAATCATGATTGTTATATTTGTAGTCCTATTTTAAACCTAGAGAAACATCATCATCACCTTTAAATACTGTTAGTTCTCAAACGCATTCTAAAAAATAAATAATTTATGAGGAAAAAGTGAAAAAAGGAGCATTGCTTAAAAGTAATTCTTTAAATGAAGCCTTATCATTAAAAGACAGAATTAAAATCTTTGATTATTTATGTGATGCATTATATCAGATACATGAAAAAGATTTAATTTATTGTAATTTACATAGTGGTAATATATTATTGCAAGGAATTAATTGTTATATTACAGATTTGGAATTATGTAGACCAGTTGATGAAAAGTCATTAAATAAATTTTATGGAATTGTATTGTATGTTGCACTCAAACTACTTAGGGCAAAAAGAACACAAAAGAATATGATATATATAGTGCTGGGATGCTAATGTGGGAAATATTTGCAGGACATCCACCATTTGATGATAGAGCTCATGATCATAATTTAATTTTGATATATGTGAAGGTTTACAACCACCAAGACTACTTGAAATTCCTGATGATTATGCGCAAATGATGCAGAGGTGTTGGGGATCCATCAAAAAGACCAACTAATAGAGAGTTTTGTGATTTTGCTAGAAATAAACATAACGAAATCATTAAAATGATAATGTTGGTGATACTACTAGTAACAGTGGTAGTGGTAGAGCTTCGCAACAAGAACTCAGATGCCTATCATGTAAGTAGAATATTAGATAAAGAGATTGCTAAATCTAAAATCTTAAAAATTTACACAAGTAATGATAGTCCGTTAAATAGTCTTGATTCAAAGGTGGGTAAAAATTTCATTATTAATGCCAATGATATTGTTAATAGACATTAGATTCTAGTAACATTAGGAATTAATGAATTACTAATTTAATTTCCACCATTTATCGTTCTATTTTATCCTTACTTTGTTTCTCAAAGCTAAATTATAATAATGTTTTACAGTTTTTTGATTCTTGTTAAATGGTGGTGATATTGCGAGGTATCATTTCGGTTAATTAAAAGTTATAGCATAACTTTTGGGCGACTCTTGTCAATTAATTAGTTTATGACTTTAATTGGTTCTCGATTACTGCATCTAGACGAATCTGAGAGTCCAAACATTTGTTTACTCACTAAAGCAAATTACGTTATTAATCGTTGTCAACACTCACTAGTTAACCAACGTTAGTCTTAACTTTGCTTAACTGCTCATTAAAGCAAATAAACGTGTCTTTTTACCAAAGCTTCACAATTATCTTTTACCAAGGCACCAACTATACTTGTTGCTTTTATCAAAGTGCTTTAAACAAAGAAAATAAAGACAATGTTTTTTATTATTTTCCTCTGCGAGGACCCGAAGTTTCTTAATGAAATTTTTTGTTGATCACTACAATAAGGATAAAAATAGGATTATTAATAATTATAAAAAGCTTTTGCGTAGTTGACCTACCAATTCCTAATTGATGATTTATCTACCCGATCATGTATTGGGAACTGAGTTTGTATTCAGCAAAAAGAAAACTTAGCTCATTGGGAACAACTGATGAAACAAAGGAGAGGTTAGGATACACAAGAAAAATATAAAAAAAAGACCCTGGAATCAGTGTTGAAATTTCGTTGTGTAACCAGTACAAATTTAGAAACTATCTCCAAAAATTAAAAGGTTGATTGGTGTGTAATGTTACACCCCGCATTCCCCGCACCGAATTTTATAAGCTTTTTTGTGAGCTTTTATATTTTATTAGCCTTTAAAGCAATTTTCATTTTTGATTTAATGGAAGCGAATTTGACGCAATAGTTTTACAACTTTGGTGACATTTCGTCAAGAAACAACATTAATTCTAGCATAGATACTCAGGATGCATATCTATCTATTTACTAGTTCAGTACCATGTTTAATATGTAACATGCGTAAATGGTGGATGGGACATCAAATTTTCACTGATTCCTCAAAATTCAGAATGGAGATAGTAACTGAAGAAACAAATATGGATAACTGTCAATTGAGTTCTGTATTAATCTCGAATTTAATAAAATAGACTATTACTATTGTGAGCCTGCAGAGATCGTCATATATCATATCCGACTCTAAAAATATTACCACGAATAAATTTCATCCATCAAATAATATACATGTGTACTATTTTAACATTTTCATTATTAGGAGAAACGTTTGAAATTTTTATTTCTCAATAGAACACGCACGTATATTGTACGTAATAATAATGGACATTGGTAACTTTTTAGCTTCGGTCTTAACCTCGAAATTCATTACTATTATATAAAGCAATGATAACACAGATTTCGTCGATAGTCTTACTGCTGCAACGACGTTCAAAGTCTCTTTTATGACAATCAACAACATCCGAATGAAGGGATTGGCGATAAAATTAATGTCAATATTGACAAAATTTTTGAAAATTGCTTGTTAAATTATTCATCGCTAATTATTATAACAATTGCTCAATCACAATGTACTAAAACTCTTCTATTCTCGTCGTTGTTTTTGGTTAGCCCAGTACTATGACATATGGAAAAGGCATTAAATACATAATAGTACATTATATGGAATTCAAATAGTAAACCATATGTATAAAGATACAGAATAGGTACAGAAAAATGCAACTTTTCTGTGTCTTAAAATACGGAATTGGTACTGCAAGCGTGCCGCTTGAAATTGTCCAATATGTTATATATAAATACCACTAATCTTTAACTAGTAAGCTTGTCCTCCGTAATCAAATATCAAATGTTGCAACATACCCGCAACTTAGATAAGAGGTAATAATTTAAAGTGTGGATATGGATTTTTAAGGAATAATCTAACATTTGTGCAGAAGTATCGCCACTACATAGAGCTCTCCAAATGCAAATTGTTTTATGGTGTATTGTTCAAAAAGTATTGATACGCAATTCTTTATCTAAATTGAATATTATTTAATTAGGTTTCAGTATTAATTGTTAATTTACGCTATATAATATCATACCTCTAAATTGTGAATGAAAAAAATGGCCAAGAAAGTACATCTCAAATTAATGTTTATTAAATGCTATTCGAAACTAGGGATTGGGCTCGGCCAAAGTTTTTTACTCGATTATAAACTTGTTTATTAAAATGAAATAGAATCAAAGCTATTCTCTATTCCATATTTTGATTTAAGAAAATCAAGATTTTTTACAACATTCGGTTTTAAGTTTGTACGTTTATTAGTAACATTACCTTCTTGTTTAAAGTACTTTTTTACTGCCTCTTTGTAAATTTAGGTCTATAAGCGTGATTTTGAGAGCCAACAGTATTTAAATCAATTAATGATGACGGATTTAGAGTTTGATGGTCAATTTGAACAAGTGATTAACCGATCAAAAATAAAATTTTCAAGTCCAATCTCTAGTGGAAAGTGACACTTATATGCTCAAGCATAACAACCGCTTTTTTAACTGGATCAATGTAATATTATTACTAAACAAATGAGATTTATTTTCCAGAAACTAAAGTATTTAAGAGAATATCTCTACTTGAAATTGAAAGCATTAAAAAAAATATATATATTTTAAATTTTAATTGCCAATTGACATCTATTTATAGAATTGGTAGAGTTAAATGATATCCTATTATTAGCCATTCCTACTCTCAAATTTTCACAGCAGCATATATATTTAAGCAATTTAATTCAATAAGTCAGTTTACTTGATAAGTCGGTCATATGAGCTCACCCCCACATGACTGACTTATCAAGTTTACATATGTACCATCTGACATTTCAATGAATATAAATTTATTATTTTTAATTAATTATGACAAAATCATTTTGTCAGTTGTCATCTAATCATGACATCATCAATGACACATTTTTGACATTTAACATTAGTAATTGTCAATTAGATATCATTTATTATTCTATTTTATTGGACAAAATCATGTAAAAAGTCATGTTATTTGCAATACTTTAAAAAGTATAAATATACTTGAAATCTCCTTTAGTGAAAAAAATTAATAACACTTTGGTAATACAAATAACACCTTCATTAATTAATAAATCTGGAATTATTGATTGATTCATAACCCTTTCTGATGATTAATGGTTTGGCCAACATTTAATTATCAGTTAGGAACCCCTTTTGTTGGTTTTACTATATTGCTGTGTGCCAGATTTGGTGACTCTGCAATAGAGTAGAGTTTCTATTCGTAATACAAATTATTCAAACCATTCGTTTATTCGAATTTTTATCGTTCGTTTATTATTCGAATTATCACTGTTCGTTTATTCGAATTGTTATCATTCGTTTGTTCGAATTGTTATTGCTTATTGTTATTCGAATTGCTATCATACGTTTATTTGAATTATTCATTATCATTCGTTTTGTTCGAATTATTCATTTTATTTGAACCATTCACTTTGTTTGAATTATTCGTTTATTTGTTTATTCGAATTATTACTCAAACTATTCGTTTATTCGTTATTTGAACTATTCGTTTTGTTTGAATAATTCGTTTTACTTGAATTACCCCGTTTTAATCAAATTATTCGAACTAATCGAATCATTCATTTTATTTCAAACTATTCTTTTATTCATTTTATTCGAATTTTGTTTGAAATATTCGAATTATTTGTTTTACTCGAATTATTCATTTATTTATTTACTCAAATTATTCATTTGATTTGTTTTTATTCGAACTGTTCGAATTATTTCGTTTATTCGAATCATTTCATTTTATTCGAATAAACTTTCAATGTAATTCGAATAAACAAATTCATAATAATAATAATAATAACGAGTAAAACAAATAATTCGAATAAACCTTATTCGAATAGAACCCTAATCAAGCATATAGTTGAATATAGTGATTTTATTTGGTGACTCCAATAACTCGGATCACATGTTCGTAATATTTATAGGCTGTAAATAATTACGGTGTTATGCTTTTATTATTATTATTATGGTTTCTTTATATTTTAGGGTGTCATGCCGGATTTATTTATGTAATGCTAATTCAGGTACACAAGTCATTAGAAAAATCCTAATATTTTAAATAATACACATCTAAACTCGTCAAGTCGGACGCAGCTATCAATTGTTTAAAGTACTTTATAATATAAATAAATGTCCGACTTATCGAGTTTAGATGTGTATATATATTAATATTTTATGTGATACATATTTGTGGCTTTTAGAAAAAAACTTTTTTTTGACCACAAATAATTTTTAAAGATGGAAAACACTTTGGGCGAAAATAAACGTCATGATAATACTTCTACTGACAAAAATGATTATGATGAATATTCTGATGGAAGATATGAAGAATATGGGGAATGCCCAACCTGCAATAGATATAATACTAATTGGGCATGGTGCCAATCATGTGATCCAAAGCTATTAACTGAAGGATGGACTAGTGGCAATGAAACATTAGATGAGTTGGTTAAAAGTACACAACTTAAAGCAACTGAGTATGATAATAGTAAGCATCTTCAATGGATTCCTTATAATGATTTAACAAATATTGAAGGTGGGTTTGCAACTGTATCCGAAGCTACCTGGTTAAATGGTTATAAAAGTATAAATTATAATAATTTCGAAAGATATAGTAAAGATATGACTGTGGCATTAAAAAAATTACATAATTCACAGAATGTTTCTGATGAATTGCTTAATGAGGTAAATTATTTTATTTTTCTATTAATTTTCAGATTTTTAAATATTATTCTGAATTCAGTATTTTTTTTTTATACATATATATAGTTTAGAAATTATGTTACATTTCATGGTGAATCATTTATAAATAAAATTTATGGATTAACACAAGATCTGGCTACAAAAGAATATATCTTTGTAATGAAATACATGGAATATGGAAGTCTTGAAGCTTATGAAGATCTATATATTAGAGATAAAAAGTATGGGGAATGTCCAATCTGCAATAGATATAATACCAATTGGACATGGTGTCAATCATGCGATCCAAAACTATTAACTGAAGGATGGACTAGTGGCAATGAAAAATTAGATGAGTTGATTAAAAGTGCACAACTTAAAGCAACAAAGTATCATTACAGTAATCATCTTCAATGGATTCCTTATAATGATTTAACAAATATTGAAAAGATGGGTGAAGGTGGGTTTGCTACTTGGTTAAATGGTTATAAAAGTGTAAATGGTGATAATGAAAGAACTAGCAAAGATATGACTGTGGCATTAAAAAAATTACATAACTCGCAGAATATTTCTGATGAATTTCTTAATGAGGTAGATTGTTTTATTAATATTAGTTTCAGATTTTTTGATTATTATTGTTGTAATTAAATTTTTTTTTTTTTAGTTCAAAAATTATACAAAGTTTCATGATAAAGTTTATATTTATGGATTAACACAAGATCCAATTACAAAAGAATATATCTCTATAATGCATCACATGGAAGATGGAAGTCTCCAAAACGATGAATATTCAAAGAAAAGAGATAAAAAATATGGGGAATGTCCAACCTGCAAGAGATATAATACTGAATATTCATGGTGTCAATCATGTGATCCAAAGCTATTAACTGAAGGATGGGCTAGTGGCAATGAGACATTAGATGAATTGATTAAAAGCACACAACTTAAAGCAAATTATTATAATAATAAATATTATCTTCAATGGATTCCTTATAATGATTTAACAAACATTGAAAAGATAGGTGAAGGTGGGTTTGCAACTATATCCAAAGCTACTTGGTTAAATGGTGAGAAAAGAATAAATTATCATAATAATTATGAAAGAACTAATGAAGATATGCCTGTAGCATTAAAAAAATTACATGGTTCACAGAATATTTCTAATGAATTTCTTAATGAGGTAAAGTATTTTATTTTTCAATTTATTTTCAGATTTTAAATATTATTGATTATTATTGTTATAATTAATTATTTTATTTGTTATTTTAGTTTAAAAATTATACAAAGTTTTATAATAACGGAAATATAATTCATACTTATGGATTAACACAAGATCCAATTACAAAAGAATATATATTTGTGATGGATTATATAAGAGATGGAAGTCTTCAAAATTATTTAACAAAAGATTTTAAAAATTTAAAATGGGAATACAAAATTATGATTCTTTATTATATTATTAATGGTTTAAAAGATATTCATGAAAAAGAAGTTATTCATCATGATCTTCATAGTGGTAATATTCTTCATGAAAAAGGAGATGATATGTTTTCATATATTGCAGACTTAGGATTATCATGCCCAGCTAGTCAAACATCATCATCAAACAAAAATGATATATGTGGAGTACTACCATATATTGCACCAGAAGTTTTAAAAAAGAAACCATATACAATGGCATCAGATGTATACAGTTTTGGAGTTCTGATGTCTGTAGTATCAACTGGCCAACAACCATTTAATAATTTGGCACATGATGAATATCTTGCAATGGAAATATGTAAAGGTGCAAGACCTGGATTCTCAAACAATACACCAAAATTCTATATTGAACTAGCATTCAAATGCATGGATGCTAATCCAGATAGACGTCCAACTGCTCAAGAAATTTTAGAGATTATTCATTTTTGGAAGGATTCACTTTATCATGATGTGATAAGTTATCTTGAAAATCGTGGATATTCTAAGAAACAGCATGATGAATTAAAATCAATTAGGAAAGAGTTGGATAAAATGGATGAAATAAAATTTGATCCATCAACAATTACCACAGTAATTCATCCAAATGCTATTTATACTAGTAGATTCTTAAAATTTACAAACCTTCCCCAACCTGTGAATTCCAATAAAGTAACAATTATTGGTAATAATAATGGTAATTACTAATATTCAATTTATTGGTTATTATTAATTTTAAATTAACAATGTTTATTAATATCCACTCTTGCAATAAATATTTTGTAGATTCTAAACAAATTGATTTAGCTATTTTTGTAGATTCTAAACAGATTGAATTAACTATACCAGATGAATTACCTGAATACAGTCAACGGATCTATGGGACTGACCACCTAAATTCATTGAAACGAGATAATGACCAACAGGATCAACAGGAAAATTTTAATAACAAAAAATTAAAATGCTAATTAATAGTCAATTATTCACTGAAAAAATAGTAATGTTTTGTTTGTATTGAATTTTGAATATTATATGATTTTTTTTTTTCAATAATTTTAAAGCTTTTAACTCATTATAATCTGCTTGTATATTATTTTGTTCAAGAAAATTAAAAGCAATTTCAAAAGTTTTTACAGCTTCATTTATTGAAACATTAAGAATAGTTGTACTACTTACAATAACATCCTCCTCAAAAGAATTAAGAATTTCCTCTTTAGTTGGCATTTCATTATTCTCGTTATTATCAATTGATATATATGAGACAAAAATTATTGCCTTTCTAATATATGTGAATTTCTTTTGGATTTAAACCATTTTGTTTCTTATCAAAAATTTTAATCTCCTTTGCAATAAATAATTTCTGGTAATTTGACTGTAAATATAAATACATATAAATAATTTAATATATTTGATACAAATAATTTAATAAATAATTTAAATACAGACCTTAAAGGAATGAATTATCCCTGCATCACATGGTTGCAAATGTATAGTTGTGTTTGGAGGAAAGTGATGAATTGTTACATTTCTTAAATCTAAATTATCCATTAAAATATGTGTTGATGCATTATCAATAAGTAATAATATATTCCTATTTGCAGTACACATTTTATCATCCAGTTTTTTTTAAGTAATCATTCCATATAGAAACTGCTTTACTATATAATCGTGTAGTTTTCCGCCAAAAAATTCATCCGCCAATTTGAATTCCCATGAGAATATTCGACATCCGCCAAAATTAAAATATCCGAAATTTACTATTACAATTTAATTTTAAAAAAAAATTATTTTTAGATGTCGAGTATTCTCGCGGGAATTCAAATTGGCGGATGAATTTTGACGGAAAACTACACAATTATCTTTACTATTCCAATAATAGTCAACAGGCAATGTATCTTTTTTAATCCCTCTTAATGGTCGAGGTTTTCATATTTGAATAAATAAAGGAAGTAACTTTTCAGTACCAGTTGCATTGCAAGTTAATAATACTGTTACTCTTTCTTTATTCAGCTTTAAGCCTGATGGGGACTGTTGATTCCATCTTCCAATAAAGACCTGAATCATCACAATTAAAAATATCCTCTCTTCTGTAATTTTTAAGAGCATCTTTCAATTCATCTCTCATTCCAGGAATCTGTTCGATAGGTGCACTTTGAGATTCTTCATGTTTATTATATTCTTTAATTGAATATCTCTGCTGAATTTATCAAGCCAACCAGACGATACTTTAAAAGTATTGTTACCTAATAACTCGGCAAATTTTAGAGCCTTTTGTTGAATAACATTGCCTGTAATTGTTGCATTACATTCAAATGCTTTCTGGATCCATAAAATTCAAGCATCTTCAACATTAGCAACAGGAGAAGTATGTGCTTTTTTTAATTTTGCTTGATAAGAATTTGGATCAATTTCAAGCCATCTATTAGACTCTCAATATATCACTAACTTGGCTTGTGCTAATGTTATATTTTTGCGCTAATTCAATATTCTTTGGTTGAGGTTTAGTTTGTCTCAATAAACATAATTCACGTTTTTATTCAGAATTTGGCCTATTCTGTTACAGAATTGAGGTATAAAATGTCTCATGAGATTAGAATTCTGGAGATAAAGTACCTGCAGAGAAATAAAAATAAGTACGTGATTGATTTATTCGATAATTTGATAATATATTGTCTAACCATAAAAATATTACTATTACGTAAATAGTAAATTCAATTGTTTTCCCTTGTTAATATGCTAATATAAAAAATGAATTCAAGTTTTCAAATTTAAGCGTAGAAATACAGATAAATAAGAATTCAATTGATAACACAATAAATTTTTTCATCGAAAATCTTATCTTTTTATAGAAAAATCTCATTCTCATTTAATATTAAAGAGCGATAATAGCATAATTCATAAAATTTGCTGTGCCAGACCTATAAATTTAACGAGCTTTGACTAATGATTTTTTTAAAAATATTTTTATTTATTATTTTTTTATTTTTTTGTTCTTTTGAGTAGTAGGATTTGGATTGATAACAATTTGATGCAAGTTGTGTGGAAGAGAACATAATAACCCCCCCCCATAAAATCAATCCAGCACTAATGAAATATCACAAACTTTCACTTATATTTAAATTGCAAATAATTATAAACCTTCATCATGAGCAATATCAATATATATATAGTATTCCTTTGATCATTAATGATATAATAGTTCTAATAATGATGACGAAAGTGAGGTAATATGGTGGATTTGATAGTAGATGAGCATATCATGTCCTACAAAATCCATTAACCATTTTAAGTGACCAAAGGAGAAACTCTAATAAAGAGAAAAGATTAATAGAATTTCCTATTTTTTAAAAAGGTGCGCATGATCCTATAGAATGGTTAGTATTTCTGATGAAAAATCGTACCTTCTAATTCAAAATGAACCGCTTTAATCAAAATTAATAGATGGATAGTAATCATGTACCCAAATTGTGGGTCTGTGAATGTATTTAAAAACCATTTCTGTGGTCCTTTTCGTATTTCGCTATGGATGTGTCAGCTTAGAAATAAAAACAAAGATTGATGGAACTATAGAAGAATATTCAGATTCTTTGGATGAAAAATAGATTCAGAAGATGTATATCCAGTATCTGATAAAATTCGACAATTTATGGACAGGTTAAGAGGACTGAGTTCCTTGTACCTGTTCAACCATCTATGCCAATAATATTAAATTAATATATTAAAAGCCTTTTCTAGAGATATGAAATTATCTGCATATTTTATGATTCCAGGATATTTGTCAACTAGTTCATTAGCATCTATTCAACAAAAAGGATTATTAAAATGTATAAGTTAATTGAACAAAAACTAAAAGAAAAATTAGATCCATTGATTGATTTACAAAAAAGTATTAAAAGTTTAGTAATTAACAAAGAAGAATAGTAAAAGTTTCATTCAAATGTCAGTAGTAATTGGGGGAAAAGAGCAGGTAACAATTTCAATGATAATAACCATAATAAATCTTCGAATGATAATAATAATGACATACTTATTTAAATGTAACCAACCTGGACATTTTGCTCGTGATTATAATAGAGTTAATAATAATTAATTTAATTTCGAAAGAAAATATATTCAAAATAACATTGATATTATTTATTGGCTTCAAGAAACCTGGGATAAAAACGCCAGGAGAAGTTGAAGCCGATTTTTAAAGTACAAGAGCTCAGTAATATCATCATATTATTCCATACATTCGATAATGGACTTTTCTTTTCGTCATCATATTAAATGCCAACTAAATAACAAGTTATTAATCATTTTTAAAAAAACGTTAATTCATCATTAATTTTTCCTTCACTAAAACAAATTCTCCAATCAGTATACAACAACCGACCTAGAGCCTGTCCCAGAAGCAACTTCGCTAATAATTGTTTAATTAGAGCTACTATTACTAAATAAAGGCGCTACGATAGTTACTATAAATAGAAGAAGAGGAGAAATCTTTTAATAATTGTAATTGCGAATAATAATAATAATTTGTAATAAAAATGACTTGTGTGTTCGAGAAACCTGGCTGTTTATAGTTCTAGTAGGTCAATAAAGCAGAGGCTACTCGTCCAAAGAATTATTTGCATTTCTAGCTCAAGAAATAAAAACTTTTAATAATTATTCCTAACCTCGAATTTTATTAAATAAAGAAATCATTATCATATCGTGACGATTCCATAATTACTATTACTAATGTCATATCATTTCAATAACTTAAAAAAAAAACAATGTTGCTCTCATTAGTTAAACAAGAATATGAAGAAGAAAAATCTGTCATTCTTCCGATGATGACTAATAATGAGAATGGTAAGCATGGCAACTTTCAAAGTATTTATTTTTCTATTTACCTTGCGACATGATGGCCACGTAAATAAGTTGATTTGCCTTGATCAACTAGAAAAAACCGGCGCAAGAATTTCCGTCCTGAAACGTAGACATTTAGATTATGCGAGACGTCAACAATCATTTTCGGTATTATTTTCATTAAGTTCATAGCATATTAATTAATATTGCAGAAAATATAAATTATACAACATTCTCTCATCTATATATCCAGGTATCAATGATGCTCAATCCTTTCCTTTGTAATAAGGATACTTAATAGATATTATGAAAAGTCTATAAAATAAGACCTATATTTCTCTTTATAAAAGTTATGTTCTGCCATATTTTATTAATTGAACAAATTTGTAAAGAGTTACATGAATTGTTTTATAAACAATAAATAAACATCTAAAGTAAAATGACTTTTTTTATTCCTTTCAAACTTTGCTAAAAAGAGTAGAAAGCAAATATATTGATGTTTCAGATTTCCGTGATTATATTATTCGCAACTTTAAATGGACATTACTTATTATTATTAACTTACGCCAGTAAGCATTGTCTTAATTTAGATCTATATGATTTACAAAAATAATTTCATTAAATTAAATTACCTGAAAAAACAGGTTAGAACTATGTGATCAACATAAACATATTAATATATACCGCTTTCCATTTTCAAAGATATACCAAATTTACGCAGAAGGATAGTGGATAACGTGCAGTTTAGAGCTATGAAGAGTATTTCGCTCTAATTTGCTTGGTTCTACGTTTTTTGGTGGTTTTCGCCATAAAACTCTTCATGTTCTAAACTAAACACCATACACTATCTTTTCGCGTTTATATCTTTGAAAATGTGATTTGAAACAATATATATCTCAAGAATTATGTAAGGTAAATCAACAAAACTATATAGATTCATTTGAAAGCTTATCAAATACTTTATTAAATAAAAAAATCGATAAGAAATTCTATCCTCGTTTTTTTTCTAAAACCAACTCACATTTCTGTTTCATAAGTATAATGATATTTGACCATTTCCTAAGGAATTCTTCAATCATAAATCTCTTCATTTCGTCAGCATCCTTTTTTCAACGTTATTTTTATGATATACCACAATGGTCAGGTCCGTTGGACGGCCATATTCTTTTTTCAGAAATGAATATTTTGTAGCACGTGATTTGTGCTTTGGATCATTATCCTATTGCGAACGCCATGTAATAAACATACAATCATTCAAACAAGATGTCCAATCATTTTTTGTCATGTGAAAAATTTTTTCATTTTACATTTTTGCGCCCTTTTTTTTGAAACACACACTGTATGTTACGATTATCGTATAGTGGGGTTCGCAAATACGCATCCAATAAAGTAAGGCCATCACGGCTGTTACTATTTTTGGAAGAACATTTGACTGAGCCCGTATGCCTGATTTGGGAATATTTTGTAAGAAAAATTTGCACGTGTACGTGTGCTTGTGAATTTTACGACGTGAAATCAAAACAAATGAACAAAGATTTTGTTTATTATGATGCAAGTCATTTGGTCTTTGAACTTTTCATTGACTATAGATAGATCCTTTAATTCCTCCAACAATGGAAATGTAAAACCTTTCTCTATAAAGTTACGATTCACCTTTTATAGTTCCGTAACAATTCTTTAAAAATCATTAAAACCGCATAACAATTATCGGCAATTTCCATATTAATATAACATACCATATTCTTTTTAATGTCACGTAACCGTGAAGTTTTTATTGCATTTTGATTTCACAAATTGGCGTTGTGGTGCAGAAAGTTCAGTGATCAAGTTGTATAATTTATTCCGAGCTGGTTAAATGATAAATCATATCCTACATTGACACAAGTATTACAAATTACTTTGTCATCAAATTTGATATATTTAACGTTGCACCGAACGCGGGTACCCTTGATTTGGTTTTCCATTTGATCTTTTCTTTATAAAAATTTCTTTTTTGATAACAATGACAATGATAATTTGATGATAGATAACAATTTTATAAATTACTCCTGATAATTATTTCGCCTCTCTATTACTATCTATTATTATTATAGTAAAAAAATACTTATGTGACAAAAAGGTTCATTATAGAGTGTGATATTGAAAAAACTAATAAATAAAAAAATTAATGCCCGTTTACTATTTTAGCAACTGATTTAAAACTAATTTAAAGCCAATTTTTAAAAAAAAAAAATTTTTAGTGGATTCAAAAATGCGTAACGTGATACAAAGGATTTTAAAATTTCGTAAAGCAAGGTAATGATCAACATTACACCAAAATCAGTGAAAATCACGTGTACATTTAATTACAGTCAACTTCCTCCAAGTGCACCCTCCTTGGGAACATATCACTATTTCTCATGAACGTGCATCTAGAGGGGATAATTTTATAAGCTCACTATAAGTTTGGGAATGAGACATGGCGTGCATTTAGAGAGGATGCACTTAGAGGGGGTTGAATGTAACTCGCCTGATCAAGGAAGGTATCGCTTATTGAAATCCATATGAAAAGGAATAATGAAAATATCCTTAAATAAATTGTTAATCGAATTATTCAATACATTATTGCCAAAAATACTTTTGTTTAGCACGCAATGACACACAATATGCAAATATTTATTTATTCAGTACATTATTTACTTTCAAACAACAAATTCGGAGGATTAGGTTTATAATTATCCCGTTGCTCTGTTCGAATATATTAGCGCTTTAGAATAGAAAAATTTTTATTATTGTCATTAAATCAGACAGATCAGAATAAAATTGTGTGACCTTTCTTACAATTCAGGAATTCATAACGACAAAAATTTCACTTTATCGTTATTTTCTTTTTTTTTTTTTTTTTGATTGCCATACCTTTTCTATTATCAACAAATTGATCATTAGTGATGTTTCAATATTTTTTCTCTCGAGAAAAAATATAAATAAAAACACAAAAGCACGTTTATGCATAATGATGAAAATAATTTTTAGTTAATAATTAAAAAACGTGTAAAACTTTTTGATCAAGTAGATCATTTCCATCCACAAAATGAAATGATTGTGAAGAAGATCATTTTTTGTGAATAATCATCTATCTCTATGGTAAGTGATAGAATCGGTTATTGGAGTATTAACATTCATTGCTTTTATTTAATGGCTGTATGAATTAGTGGAGGAGATGGAAGATAAACGGAAATTCTTGCCATTAATACTGATTTATTATTATATTATATATTTGATTCAATATATTCTTTAATGATCAAATTAATTTAAAAATAAGATTTATCACAATTTGTTACAATTTTCTTGATAATAATATAACAAATTTATACATGGAATTATTAATATTTTAATCGCAATATAGTATTTTTATTGAATTATGCCATTTTAAGATTTACGCATAACGCCGATCATTGATCGTCATACAATTTTTAAATATAAAAAAAATACAGTATAACGAGATTAACTATATATTATAAAAAATTATATTAACTAAATTAAAATTACAAATATAATAAAGATAAATGAATTATGGATAAATCAATATTTAAAATTAATAAAAGTATAGAGTAACGAGATTAATTAGATTAAAAAACATATCATTGTAGCCGGTAGTTATTATTATAATAGAAATTATTAAAGTCTTGATAATGAATTTGATTTAAATTTCCACCTAATTGTTTCTCTGAATAAGAAGTAAAAATTAATTTTTTCTTGATACTAAAAAAAAGCAATAACATAATAACGTTGATGTAGTTATTACCTCTATGACATGGCAAATTTCTACGCGAACAATTATCACAGGGATCATTGCCCTCTGTACATTTCTTGTGAATTTGTTTGCAATTGGTACATGCATTCTTTACATACGGCCCTCTGGATTTTTTAATGTTGGTAACTGTGTTACTAAGGTTGCTGTCGTTGTTAATATTGCTGTCATTGTTAATGTTGCTGTCATTGTTAATATTGCTGTCATTGTTAATATTGCTGTCATTGTTAATATTGCTGTCATTGTTAATATTGCTGTCGTCACTATTCATTATTAATAATTAATTAAACAGTGTTTTTAAATAATAATAATAATGAAAAGATGGATATAAATGCTATTATTATAATGTTTTTGAAAAGAGTTTTTTTTTTCAAAGGACGATGGAATGAAAAAGAAATTTTCTCTCTTTTTATATTGAAAATTACTGATCCAAATTTGTGATTATAACTATATTTAAAAAAAATACTATAATTTTGTTGTTTGAGAAATCGGTCAATGGGTACTTATACATTATATATCGTATACATATAAATGCCTTGGTGTAAACTTAATCTGTAAGCGATTTCAAATAAAAAATGGAAATTTAAGAAAGAGAGATATATAAAACTAATTCGTCAATGAAATATGTCATCTTTACTTTTCTTTGATTTGAATACTAAATATTATGATCATATGTACTGTATGTAAGTTTATTGCTCGACCATTAAGAGTGAAACCAGGAGAAAGGATTCCTTTGCAACTTTATAAGTTGAAATTAATAATATGTTAATCGTTATTAAGGCGTTGTTTGTTTTTATTTATTTACTTAAACTTAAAAAAAAATTTTTTTTGCTAATTATTTCCGTTTATTGAATATATTAAATCGACACCACTATCAATAATAATAATATCACATTCATCACACAATTTCTAATTTGTTTTTCTGTAAAATTGGATCAATCGGGTAGTTATGATGATTATTTAATGAAATGACTACGAAAAATTTGTTTGTATGTTTGTTGTGTTTGACACGATTTGGCTTGCTTATAGTTTGTTATATCCTTTTGGAGAATATTAGGGGAAAAACTCCATAGTCGGAACCTTACATATTTTTAGTATTTTTAATGATTCATATTCATTACTATTACGCCGTTAGGGTGCTACAAGTTACAAATTCAAAATTTTGAATGTGATATTGCTATAGCACAAATATATTTCAAAATTGTAAGATGGAATAAATAATGGCTAATCGTATTTAAAACGCGTAATGGTGTCTTTTATCGAATCAATATGATTTGAAAAAAAAAACTCTTTATTACATTAAAAACAAGCTTTTTTAGAGCCTAAAACATTTTTTATTTTGTTCTCAAAAAAGGCAATTAATTAATGAATGATATATATGTAAAATGATCAACTGAAAATCTTGATTTCCTATCATTGTGACATTAATAGGTAATTATAATAATAATAATAAATAAAAAATTATTCATTTATTACGTTTTCTATAACTAAATTATTTTTCTACTTGCGAAAATTTAATAATAATATATGAATTAGATTTTGTCTGTATTAATAAATATCAATTTCTAACACCAATCAACATTAACAAGTTCATCTAATATTAATACTAAGAGTAGGTTTAAAACTAGAGCCATAAATTATAAAACTATGAAACGTTACGTTAAAATTAACTTTGGTGCATGAAGAGTGGATTAATATAAATATAAATAATAATAAGTATAATAATAATAATATTAAATTAATAAAAAAACAAATAATAAAAAACTAAAATTAAAATTAAAAAAACATTGTCTAAAAATCAAGTCACACAAGTCCCTGCAGCAGGGTTTTAATGAGAGGGTACAGTAGGAGGATCGATTAATTTCTTTGCCATCTCTAGCTTTTTTTTCTTCTCCTCACCTCTAACACATTCTACTCTCCTCTTTTTACAATTTGCACAATTTATATTATTGTCACATCTGAGGTGTTTTCGACTGCATTCGTAGCAAGCTTTGAAGTACTTACATACTGTTTTATAGTTTTCCTTCATTTTGTTTTAAAAAATAATTTATAATTTTTTTTAAGTAACTAAGATGTATTAGAGATGACAATGATAATAATATTGTTGCTATTATTTGTTTTTTTTTTTTAAAAAAAGCCTGGGCATCAAAAGTATTTATTTATAAATGAAATTTTTAGGTCTTCAACATTGTTATTTCTTTTTTAATTTTTAGGAAATGATGTAAAATGACAAGTGATTTTTGTAAATTATTTTTCTTTGTCATTTTACCAATGTAAAACAAATCTTTTTAAAAAAGTAATCTTTAAACGTTGAGTGAATTCACGTTTGAGATTGAATAATTTCTCTTTGGAATACAGATACCAAAAATGTAAAATACAATTTCCACCCCCTTTTTTTTTTGGATTTAAAAACAAAAAAAATAGGTTCATTATTAAAATTCTGATACATTATTAGTGAATGATGAATGTTACTCTCCACAAATAAGAATCCCATGAAATTGATTAAATTAAAAAACAATAATAATAATAATAAATAATGGTATTAATATTTCTTTATTAAATCTTTATTATAATAGATAAATTGAGTAAAAACTAAAAGAATTTGTTGCTATCACGTATTGATTGATTTATTGGATTTCGAAAATTTTTTTTTTTTACAAGTTACATTTTTGGGTAGAACTAGTACCTATTATATCCTTGCCATGTCATCAAAATTCGTGATTCCGTTAGAACTTGAAGACTGATATAAACAATAATAACGAATTAGCAGGCATGAATAATAATGAGCAAGTCTATATATAGATATTTATATTGATATAAACATCTCTCTCTATTTATTACAAGAAGAAGAAGAATATTTTCAGCATCCGTAAATTTCCAATAACCGAATGTTGCGTATTGATTAAATAAGATGTTATTTTAGGAAACAATATTTCCGGTTATTAATAAATATGATATTTTCTTCAGAACCATACCAAGCGATTGTTTTAGTAAAATTATCACGTAAATTCCCTGCCTTGGGTTGTCTCTTCAAGTCGTAGTTCTTATTCGCCTGTATCCTTCTCACGCAGTCAGGGCCAAGAAAATTCGTTCTAACAAACTTTGTATAATATACAAAGTTATATGATGTAAAATACCCACTGGACTAATTTATTGTTTAATTTTTGCAAGAAAAAAATACAAAAACATATACGATTATAATATGATGATGATCATTGTAATGGTGATCGATGAATTTTAAGTTTATTAGCCAAACGTTATTGTATTTTTTATGTGAACAGAATTAAAAAAATTCAATATTAATACAAAAGAAAATAATTTCCGTTCTCATTCGACTGCTTTTAATGTGCCAATTACACTTGGCAACTACGTTTAGAATTGAATCTTTAAAAGAAATCTTCTGTTTTGATGAATTGATGATAGTAATAAATATTTAGTAAACAATCCATGACTTTTATATATGAATAAAAAAAATTTAAAGCGCTGTATGTGATATTTAAGACCTTACCATATTTCTCTCTCATGATTGCTAATAATGTTTGCCAACCAGGATTGATTGCTAATTGAACTGCATCGTTTGGTTCATGTGAAGTTGCGCATTTTACCAATGAGGAAAAGTCATTCTATAATATTGAATAAGTTAATAAATTAATTAATATTTAATAATTTATTTATATATTATCGTTATTTTTATTACCTGATCTAGAATATCTGTGCTTTTTATATAAGTTAATAATTGGAAATTAGAAAGTAATTCGTTATCAATGTCTTCACTGGATGTAGATCCAAGGTAAATATGTAAATTTCTTAAATCCTGAGTTTCCAATACACTTCTATTTGCAATTGGAAAAGTCTTTTTTGAAATGAAAAGAGGATTCGGATTGAATGGAAACCCATGCGTTACCTAATAATAATAATAATAATAATAATAATAATTTTATTTATTATCGTTGTTGTTGTTGCTTTTGTTGTTAATTAATTTATCACAACAATAACAATAATCTTACATTAACCAACAGATATTCAACGGGAAAGCTAGGTTTTGCACTTTCTTTAACTTCAATACCGTATTTATTTTTATAATTATAAAATACTTCGGGCACATATCTTTTTGAGGTGCTCTCTTTTACTCTCATTATGCTTGGATCTACGCTAGGTTCAATAATGTCGGCAGATACCATGGCTGCACATGTGTTTGAAACTTGGTATGATGAAACATCAATGTCACCATTTTCATTTCCTGTCACCACACACGTAACGAATCTACTATCAAATTGTTTGGATACGCACCATTTTGTATGCGTTGGATGCTTATTCTGCATTGTCGCTGAAAAACAACATTCTTGGGATGAAAGAAAATATGAATCAATGTGTCTTTTACAAATAACTTTTCCTTGTCCTGTTCCATCATCTACAAGATCTGTGTAAATCATCCCGACCTATTATTATTAAAAAAAAAATAGTAAATAATTAAATATTTGCACTTCATTATAATCAATTAAATATCTATACAAAATTGTAAACATATATGTAGAACCTTAGTCAAACCACATTCCGCAGCAACTTCATCAATTAAACTTTCTTCATTCCATGGAAGTGTCAAGGACAACTCATTTACTTCATCTTCTTGTGGTGGTTCATATATTGCTTCAACAACAGCTTTTACTCCTAGTGGTACGTCAGGATATGATTCATATCTACCATATAAATATCCAAATCTTTGATATCCAGTAGATCGCCAAAAATTAATAAAATCATTAATTAAACTTGACACAGAAAATTCTACATGATCCACCATGCGATATTGCTAAAATTTATTAACATATATAATTTTTTTTTTTAAGTATAACAAATTTTATTTTTCATGAAAAAAATAATTTTTTAATAAGGTTACTTGAAGTTGTAAGGTGACGGCGCTTGGTTGACATTTTGTACAAATCCCTTCAGGCCATGGTGCATGACCACTTGAACAATTAGTTTTTACTTTAAAGTCTGGTTCTTCTAATGGTGGAATAAATTTCATATTCTGTTGTTGTTTGTTTTGTTTATTAATTTTACGTAAATAAGCATAGAATGACATGTGTTTTATCCCTTTTTCAGAAAGATATTTTGTATCGTAAGGCTACATACATATATACACATATATATATATATATATATATATATATATGAATAAAATAAACAAAACAATAAGTAATTTATAAGAAATATATAGAACATTTTTAATATTCGTGAAATCTGTTCATGAAATCACTTACCTCTAACGGCATACAATAATCACACATTCCTTTTCCAGCATGTTTGCAACTACAAAAAAATTGTGTGAATATTAACAATGATAAATTCATTATAAAATATACATCTACATCAATCACACAAAAACATATATGTTCTCTTGTTCGTACAATTTAGGATCTCTTTCACGCTTTATCAGACCATCTTGTTTCTCAAACATATCATCAAGTGAAATTTGTTGTTGTTGTTGTTGTTGTATTTCAATTGAGTTTTTGTCAGTGCCGTTTTCTGTTCGTGTTGTCGTTGAACTTGACGACGATGCGTTTGATCCAGTTGTTGCTGTTGTTGTTGAATCGTTAAATGTAACAAAAACAAGAGCTCCATGACTTTTAAGAAAAAAGTTAAATTGGTTAAAAAATTAAAAGATTTGTAAATCTTATTTTAATTTTTATGTACCTAAGTCCTATTTGACTAAGAGTTTGGCCTGCTAACTGAATTATCGGTTGAGAAGTAGTTGGCCTGTCAGAAATAGCAATAGTTGAAAGGTCGCTTAAATTATATTGTTTTGCTATCTATAATAGTAACGAACGATCAAAACAATTGTTTTAAATAAAAAACATAAATAATATAGATAAATTTAACAAGGTAATATTGAAAATTATTACCTTTTCTCCTAATGAAGTTACATCTTCATTTGGATCAACTTCCATGCGAACAGTTCCTTCTTTTGAGCGTAATCGTACTAACTTCAAACAAACAAAGGGTTAAATATTGATATATATTAAACAATATATTTTATAAAAAAGTTTTTACCATATTTTCGTTTATTAATGTTGTAAATTGTTAATATGATAAGAAAATATCAAGACAAAAATTTTTATTGTCTTAATGTAGGGAGGGACTTGAAGAAATATTTTGATGTATGCATGCATATGATGATGTAATTTAAAACGTAACTAAAAATGTAATCCAATAATCATAATCACATGACATAATACATTCCCCATCTTGGTTAAATTTAATTAATATATAATTTTAAACTATTAATTTTGAATTTGTTCTAAACTATATATTACATTTGATCCCTTATAAAACTAAAATCAATGAACCCAAAAATCTGTTAGTAATATTTGTCTAAAAAGAATTTTTTCAGTTGAGCATTTTCATTAATTCAACTCAAATGAGAAAGTAAAGGATCATATAATTGGTCAGTTTCGTGAGTAGAGGCAGTAGCCAAAAAAAATAAACTTATTTCTTAAAGCAAATAATAGGAAAATCTCCTGCTTCAATTGTGAGAATTTCTTTTTATTTTTTGACTATGTTAATTGATGCCGATCTGGGCAAAATTTTTTAAGAGGGAATTTTACCATGCAGATCCTTTCCTTCAATTTTTAAATGAATCAAAGTAAATAATTTGTTTTTAATTAATAATTAGTATATAAAACAAATTGTTTATTTACTCTGTTTGGTTTTGGTTTGCATTTAGATTTTAATTACAACAATAATGATAACGATAATAATGATCTTGTTAAACAACAACAAATAGCGTCATCACAATCGTCTTCCTCTACATCACCTCCTTTAGCTTCAACAAAGCTTTCTTCGATAGAAACTGGCATTTGTGGTGCAGTTGCTGGTATGGTATCTAGGTAAAATTCAAGAATATCAATTTTACCTAATAATAATCTATATGATTTTCTAATTATTAATATTAATTATTTAATAAAGATTTGTTTCTTCACCATTGGATGTTGTAAAGATCAGATTACAAGTAAAGATCGATAATCAAAATCAAGTAATATTTATCATAAATTACTTATTAATATTATCATTTATTACAGCTTCAATCGGGAAAATCAAAGGAATTTAATAATAATAAATTAGTTAATATTAATAATAATATTGGTAATATTAAATATACTGGGATGATTAATGCATTCAAAACAATAATTCACGAAGAAGGAATAAAGGTAAAGAAACTGGTTGATTGATTAATTAAACTAAATCATATTGATTTTGTTGTTATTATTAGAGTTTATGGAAGGGTAATCTTTCAGCGGAATTTTTATATTTATCGTATGGATCCATACAATTTTTGACATATCAAAAAATACATAATTTATTCTTAAATTACGAAAAGAACAATTCATCATCATTATCAGTATTATTATCAAACAAAACATTACAATCATTTATTGCTGGTGGAATATGTGGAAGTACTGCCACCTTCTTGACATATCCTTTTGATATATTAAGAACTAGATTTGCTGCACAAGGAGAAACAAAGTTATATAATGGAATCATGGATGCAATTAGACAAATTCATTCTCAAGAAGGATTTAAAGGATTTTATAAAGGATTGACCGCATCAATTATGCAAATTATTCCCTATATGGGTTTAATGTTTGGTAGCTTTGAATTATTTAAAAAAACATTTGAACAATTCGAGGTAAATTTAAAGAAATCAAAAATCAAAAAATTCATCTATTTACTATTTATTTATGTTCAAAATTTACTAATAAAAACAATATCAACTACAATAACCAAAATCATAACAGGAAAAAAATCAATATTTAAAAATGTTTTCATCAACAAATGATATGATTATAGGAGCAATGTCTGGTATAATAAGTAAAACAGGTGTATTTCCATTAGATTTAATACGTAAACGTATGCAATTACAAATACCTCCTTCACCAAAACAAAAATATTTTTTTATAAATTATATTCCTTTATATACCAATTCAATAATAGTTAATATTAAAACTATCATAAGAAATGAAGGTTTCTGTGGGCTTTATAGAGGTTTAACTCCTGCTATAATTAAAGCTGCTCCTGTTAGCGCTGTAACTTTTTTCGCTTATAATAAAACTAGAGAAGTTTTAGAAAAATTACATTAATTATAAATATGGTAAAGATTTATTTTATTACTGCATATTTCATGTTTTCATTCATGCACCTAGCGTTCATAACCGAAAAGCAAGTTTTTACGAGTATTCGAATATCAATCTATTTACGAATATTCGAATAAATTTAAGTTCATTTCATAATTATTTGGTACTCATAATTATTTTTGGTATTTTTAATATTCAAACATTCAAGCAACAGTAATAGTAATGATTTATAAGATATTTTATCTATTAATTATGATTATTAATTATACAAATGATATAATAATTATTTTAATAAATAAGGGTACCCATAATTACTATGAATATTCTTTATAATTACTGTGGGAGTGATATATTCGTAATTATTCATATTAATAAGGGTATTCGTGATTATAATTATATTAAACGAATATTTGAATAGGGTTAGGGGTTATGGTTAGGAACCCCCACACACCAAGATTCCTAATACCAAATAATTAATATTTGACTGTTTCCTGGTTAAAATATCCCGTTCTTCAAATAACTCCCCAAGGTAATACATACAACAGGATAAAGATTCGATCAGATTGATAAGGATCTATTTACCAGCGAATGGTTTTGGTTATGATTTGATTTGGATTATTATTTATTTTATTTTATTGTCAAAAAGTTATTTTGAATCTGGAGTTCTTTTTTTTTAATATATGTTATCAAGCAAAAACAATTTTGATTTATTTGATAAGATGGTATTAGTAACCTCCTTCTAATGTCAAAATTTGGGAATTCCATTTGATTCATCTAGAGAGAGATGACTAAATACTTAAATCATCACAAGTTTTTTTCTGAAGGAAACAAAGATATTCTTAAAGATCACGATTCCGTAAATCTTTTGTGCGCAATTATTTGTGTGTGTGATGACTACAATCTTATAAGAAGACCGAATTATTTGTTGCATTCGAAAAGAGGAAGAAAAAGTGATATTAGTAAAATTGGTTATAGCACTAATCAAATGATACACAATTTAGAATACACAATTTAAGAAATTTGTGCACTACATTTATTGTTTCTCAAACTTTCCACAATTTGTAGAAATAAATAATGAATAGTAATAATAGTAATAGTAGCGATAGTGATAGTAACAATGATGATTCAAGGCCTTCCAACAACAATTTATCAAATACAAAAGACACTCCAAATGTTAGTAATACATCAACAACATCAACAACCAATGCTAGCATTAACAATAGCAATAGTTTAAGTAGTAATAGTAGCAATAGTGGTAACGGAGTTAGTAATAGTAACGGTAACAATAATGCTAATAGTATAAATAATGGCGTTCCAAAAGCTTCAAAGAATGCTCCCGCGATAAACATTTTTTCAAATGATGGGAGTTTTTTGGATCGTTTTAAAAAAATGAAAGCAGAGGAAGATGAAAAAAAGAAACAACTTGAAGCTTTAGAAAGGTGAGGAATTAAAGAAATATATAGATTTATACATTTATAATTGTTCTTTTGATAAGGAATTTATAGAGACAAAGAAAATAAGTAAATAGAAAGTAAGAAAGAAAAACCATTTGGTCATTTTTTCTTTGATCCAAGATATATACACACATATACATTATATTATACATTTATATACATATATATTGTATGTATATTTATATATTTATATGCATATATATTGTATGTATGCATATTTGATATGGCTGATTAAGAGGAACAGGTTTCAATTTTTGATTAATATGATTAATATATCAAGATAATTAATTAGTCTCTTAGAATAACAAAAGAAAAGTTTCTTCAGGAATTGTTTGATTTTTCTTTTTACTTACAACACTATTTTAACAATTTAAAAATAAAATTTTTTCCTTTAAAAAATTTACTTTTAAAAACAATCATCGAATTAAATCGTAATTGTTTTTTTTAATATCATTTGATTCTTCATTCATTTTATTATATTTAATGTGTAAAATAAAATCTTTTTTCAAAAAATATATAATACTATATATATATATGTATTATTAGGAAGAAGGCATTCGAAGATCGAATTGTAAGTATCAATTATCAATTATTATTGACGGGTATTTTCATTTATCAAGTAATATCTTTATTCATTATTTCAAATCACTAAATACATTGTGTTTTTATTCTTAACAGAAAAATCGAGGAAAACGTAAAGTTAATCCATCATCATCATCAGACATCGAACCTGAACCAAAACGTGTAAATGCGGATGATGAAAGTCGTGATGCCACTACATTAGATCCAAAGGCAAATGCATATCTTAAGGAAATGCAAAAATACAATGAAAGGTTATGTAAAGATGAAACAGGTCATGTACGTCCTTTGGTAAAATGATAATGATACTATACGATAAATTATTTTGGAAATTAAAACCAAAAAAATCAATCATCGAATAAATATATATTTTATATCTTATCTTTCATATTAAAAACAAAAAACGAAAAAGTTACGTTTTTTTTCTTATAATTAATGATCTATTTATTTATTATTTGTAGTCTTTATTAATATGTATATATATATATATATATTTTTTCTATCTATATATTCTTTTTACTATTAGGAAATGAATAATAGTATTAAACGAATGTGTGCCATAATAGTTGCATATCTATATAATAATACATTTTATTAATAGAAGAAAAAATAATATTTATATTTGATCTTTTCTAGTTTTCTCTATTATTGTTTTTTTTTTTCAAAAAAATTTTATTATTATTATTATTGTTAGAAATGATAATATAAAAATAAAGAAATTGATTAAATCTACCCCAAAACTCCAAATAAATTATTAAAATCTATCCAAACATCTCCCAATAATTAATTAATTAAAAAAATAATATTATTAAATTATTTTTCACCTGATTGTGGTATAAGATAGTAAGGTGAAGCTAGTATTTTACCAGCTTTTTCACAAGCAACCAACCATTCAGGTTTCACGATTGGTATATTACCTTCAATTGCTCGTTGATACTCAATACCACCTTGTGCATTACATATTAAATGAGTTGTGTCAGGTCCAACATGTTCTTCATATTTTGCACCAATTCTTTTTATAATTTCAATTAATTCTTGTTTACTTTTTGGTTTTATATTATCACTTTCACCAATACCGTTATTGTCGTGATCACCATCGTCGTCGTTGTCGTTCTCGTCGTCACCACCATCAACAAGATTACCAAAACAAATATTTATATCGGTCAAATTCTCTAATTTATTTCTGATTTTATCCGATCCAGGTGATGAATTCTCTCCAAACTCTTTTAATATGGCTTCTTGATGTACGTCCTTTGGTAAAATGATAATGATACTATACGATAAATTATTTTGGAAATTAAAACCAAAAAAATCAATCATCGAATAAATATATATTTTATATCTTATCTTTCATATTAAAAACAAAAAACGAAAAAGTTACGTTTTTTTTCTTATAATTAATGATCTATTTATTTATTATTTGTAGTCTTTATTAATATGTATATATATATATATATATTTTTTCTATCTATATATTCTTTTTACTATTAGGAAATGAATAATAGTATTAAACGAATGTGTGCCATAATAGTTGCATATCTATATAATAATACATTTTATTAATAGAAGAAAAAATAATATTTATATTTGATCTTTTCTAGTTTTCTCTATTATTGTTTTTTTTTTTCAAAAAAATTTTATTATTATTATTATTGTTAGAAATGATAATATAAAAATAAAGAAATTGATTAAATCTACCCCAAAACTCCAAATAAATTATTAAAATCTATCCAAACATCTCCCAATAATTAATTAATTAAAAAAATAATATTATTAAATTATTTTTCACCTGATTGTGGTATAAGATAGTAAGGTGAAGCTAGTATTTTACCAGCTTTTTCACAAGCAACCAACCATTCAGGTTTCACGATTGGTATATTACCTTCAATTGCTCGTTGATACTCAATACCACCTTGTGCATTACATATTAAATGAGTTGTGTCAGGTCCAACATGTTCTTCATATTTTGCACCAATTCTTTTTATAATTTCAATTAATTCTTGTTTACTTTTTGGTTTTATATTATCACTTTCACCAATACCGTTATTGTCGTGATCACCATCGTCGTCGTTTGACATTTTCACCATCACTACTCGAATCAATTATCACTGCCTGACTTTTATTGACTAACAAGTAAATCTTATTACACTAAATCAGGAAGATCCAAATCCTCCCTATAGCTAATTGTGGCTTCATAGAAAGTCATCATTGCTGATGCTGCTGCCAGCTAGACATATCCTGCCACAGTTAAAATGGCAGCAGAGAGGTCAGTAAGTCCCCCTTATAAATGGATCGGGTCTCTCTCCATAAGTGTTTGTGTGCAAAAAAATGTTCCTTATGTTATGGGCAGCATTAACATCTTGATTCCAATGTGTCAGACAGACTGATTTGCAGACTCTGACAGATCAGAATTTTTGATGCTTATCAAACCACCCATCACACAAAGAACAGACTGAGGAAGTACAGAACTCATCAATGTTCACCACCCTGCAGTGTCTAGAAAGCTCCTGGCGAAATTCTTTTACAGGGCCCCTGGTGCATGCCCACGTGATGTTGATGAGAATTTACCATCACCAAATGCAACAACTGTACTGTCACCATTGCTATTTGTTATTCTCTTGCACAGAATATCAAAGGCCTTCTGTTTATTAATAAAAGATTTCCATCGCAACCAGCGCCAGTGATGTTCACAATAAAAATCAAGAATTATATCAAGATAAAACAGAATGTAAGCAAGGTAAGAGCCATATTCATAGACATTGGTGACACCAGAGGTTGGAATATCTAGATTTTGTATTAGTATTAGGCAAAAGGTATGTAAGTAATATTATTCAATGATATTCTTGTTTAACAGCAAATTAAATTAACAAAGTATAGCTCACCTTGAATAACAGCCTGAGGATATTTATTTTTTTCTAACCACAACTCACGTTTTTTACAAGCACAAACAAACCCTGCTAAGTACCAGTACTCCTTGTTGGAACAGCTCACAACTTTTTCATCTGAACTCACTGCTGTAAACAGATCTTTTCTTCCAGGATCCAGTCCAAATACTTTGCATCCATTTAAATCAATATTTAATCCTTCTTCATCAACATCCTCTTTATCATCATCAACTTTCTTCTGCAGACCAACTGATACTGCAAAACCATCAGTTTGTATGGAGTAAGCAAAGATTCAATTTTGGGTGGTGACTTTATTAATATTAAATGCTTCCATCCACCAAATTTCCTTTTCAGTTCTGGATCTTTGAATGGTTGTTACTCCTACTTTTCCAATTGATTTGTACATAACTAATATGTACTTTTGTTGGAAAGAGTATTCAGGCAGAAGTGTGAAGAGACAGAGACCACATTCCCCGTTATATTTGGTAAAGGTGCACAGGATTTTATGAAGAACTGAAAGATATGACCATCAGGGTGCTTTTACAGACACATCATCAAGAGCTTGATTTTGGAATAATGTCTGTTGCACTTTCAAATGAATATATTGAATGCAGGTAGTAAGGTAAATTAGGTATTGTGGATGTGATGTAGAGAGTTTATCAATAATGTTTGAAGGGAGGGAAGGGAGATCTTGATTTTTCAAGTTAGTGATGAAATGGTTTATAATGGTGTTGATGTGTTTTTTGGGTAAAGGAAATTGATGAATCTTAAATAATTTATATTTTATTCATCTTTTAAGTCAGTTATCAAGATTTGTTATGTGGTTCTGACAATTTGTAACATATTGCCATGCAGCAGAGGAAAGAAGTTGTCCTAATGATTTTTTATTTGTCCAACTCATTCCTTAAGGTCAATATTGTGTATAGAGGGCATCTTGAATATTATTTATGATGGGTTTGTTGGTGGTGTCAGGGGTGTTTTGGGATGTAGTTACAGCTTGGAAACATTGCCTCATATACTTGAAAGCACCTTCACT